CGGCAAACTTGCTAGCTGAATGTAGGGAATTCGGGGAATTAGGCACCCTAAATACAAGCCTCCCTGAACCTGAACCCTAAATCCCAACCCTGAAGCCCTGAACCCAGCCGTCCTGACCTTGCACTTCAGTGATCCATCCGTCGACCTCATCCCGAACAGAGGCTGTGGAAAGTGGTCCCCCCCCCGCACCTTTTAAGCTTTACAAAATAGGCATTAAATGATTCCCAACAAGGCACCTTAGGCACGTCGGTATGGTTTAAGGTTCAGAGTTCAGGGTTCAGGGTTCAGGGTTCAGGGTTCAGGGTTCAGGGTTCAGGGTTTAGGGTTTAGGGTTTAGGGTTTAGGGTTTAGGGTTTAGGGTTTAGGCTCTTAGATAAGGAGCCCTGAACACCTCAGCTCCAAAGCACACCAGCCCACGCTCAGGACGATGGGCGCGACTTGGAGGCTCCGAAGACCCTAGGGTTTAGAGTTTAGGGTTTAGGGTTTAGGGTTTACGGTTTAGGGTTTAGGGTTTAGGGTTTAGGGTTTAGGGTTGGGGGTTTGTGACCCTGTGAGGCCTAGCAAGGTTGCCTTTGGGGCGAAATTCAGGGCATCTTACCGGCGATTTGGATCCTTACTGGATTTGGCCACCCTAAACCCTAAACCCCAAACCCCAAACACCACACCCCAAACCCTAAACCCAGTCTTAAGCCCTAAGACCCATCGAATTTTGAACCCTAAAGCCCTAAACCCCTGAAACACGAATCCCTAGACCACTTTTTGTGAAAACCCTCCACCCCAGCACCCTAAAGCCCTAAAAGCTCATGAAGCACTAAGCCCCTAAAGCCCTAAACCCCAGCTCCCTCAAGCCCTCAAACCCCGGCAGCCCCAAACTCTACACCCTCAACCCAAAGGAGTCTCTTTCATATAATGCCCGATTCGGTTTTAAGGTCACTTTTGGGTTCGGGCAGAAAATTTGGGGTACCATGCCATACCGAATGGAATAGAAAAAGTATGAGATGCTGCACCCTAAACTCCAACCCCAAACCCTAAACCCCAACACCCAAAAACCCCGGCAGCCCTAAACCATACACCCCAAACCCTCAACCCTAAACCCCAACACCGTAAGACCCTGAAACCCCAGAAGCCCGAAACCCCAACACCGTAAGACCCTAAAACCCCTGCAGCCCGAAACCCTCAATCCTAATCCCCAGCACCCCAAGGCCCCAAAACTCACAAACCCTAAGCCCTCAACCCTCAATCCTGAACCCTAAACCCGAGACCCTAGACCCTAGACCCTAAACCCTAAACCCTAAACCCAAGTATGGAGCCCCACCCCAAGCGCAGGCCGAGCTGCAGGCTGTGGCCGCCGAGGCGGCCGAGCTCGAGGCCTCAACTTGTTTTTAGGGTTTAGGGTTTTGGGTTTTGGGTTTTGGGTTTAGGGTTTAGGGTTTAGGGCTAGCCACAACCCCTAAACCCTCAACCCGAAGCTCTGCAAGTAGGGGGCCCCTAAGTTAAATGTAGGGCTTCGGGCTCTAAGGAGATTTATAAGTCCTACTATTTAGTGTCGTCAGGAGGGCCTGCTAGTAGGGCAAACCCTGCACTCTGAGTTTTTTGTGTTCTAGGCGCAGGGCGCCGGGAGGGTTTTGAGGGGCTCAGGGGCTGGGTTTTCGGTTGGGAATTCTGGGAGTAGAGGTAGAGCTTTACGGCGTGACTCCAATCTACCCACCCCCAAGCCTCCAACCCTAAACCCCCAAGGTTTAGGCGGCGCGGACAACAAACTGCCAGGGAATCCAAACTCGTACTGCTCAGGTGGTGCCCCATGTCATCCTTACGCACCCTTCAAGGATTTGTGAGAAAGGTCCACAAAACCAAGGCCCTCAACCCTCCCTAAACCCTAAACCCTAGACCCTAGACCCTAGACCCTAAACCCTGACAGGGGCTGCACGACCGGACTCCGAAAAACGGCTCCCGGACAATGAAGGTGATTTTGTCGATGTCCGCGAGCAATTTTCCCCGCAACAGTTCCAGGCTAGACACTCGTGAGAAGGAGCACTGAATTTAAGATTGAACCCCAACCCCTAAACCCTAAACCCTAAACCCTCAACCCTCAACCCCAAACCCCAAACCCCAAACCCCAAACCCTAAACCCTAAACCCTAAACCCTAAACCCTAAACCTTACTAAACCCCCAAAATTTGAATTTGTTGTTCACCAAAGACAGGCGCAGCTGGAAGCAGCGGCCGAGTCGGAGATCGCAGCTCTGGCAGAGGCCTTGCTTGGGAGTTTTTCTGAAAACCCAGGAACCCGAAATTTAGGGTTTAGGGTTTAGGGCTTCGCATTTTTTCCTGAGGTCTAAGCGGTAAGCCCCCAACCACGACGGGTGTTTGGTCTCTTGAGCTTTTGGAACGTGTTTGGGGGGTGGGCGGGCGGGGGGGGCTGGGGGCTCCCCACCTGGGATGCGTTTCGGGGGGAAGGTTTAGGGTTCTGGGGTGGAAGGTTTAGGGTTCAGGGTTTAACCTGATTCCTAAACCCGAAACCCTTCACCCCCTAGAAACCCTAACCCGAAAGCACATCCTGTAGCGCTCGATGCCGAAGGGAAGTTACACAGTCCCTTAACGGTCCCTTGCCTTCTTTCAAGGGTACTGAAGTATGGAACCTTCAGTCTTCTAAGATATAGGAGGGGGTATAGGCTAAAGGCTCCCCAATTAGGGTCTAGGGTTTAGGGTTTAGGGTTTAGGGTTTAGGGTTTAGGGTTTAGGGTTTAGGGTTTAGGGTTTAGGGTTTAGGGTTTAGGGTTTAGGGTTTAGGGTTTAGGGTTTAGGGCACCATGTAGCTACCCCAACAACCCCTCCGGGCGACGGTCTCGCGCAGGCCTCCGGTGTGGATTGGGCGTCTCGGTTCCGAAGCATCGGGGGGCATCGGGGTTTAGGGTTTAGAGTCCTAAACCCTACACCCTAAACCCTAAATCCTAAACCCTAAACCCTAAACCCTACACCCTAAACCCTAAACCCTAAACCCTAAATCCTAAATCCTAAACGGGGGAGCGGTGTGCCCTTTTGCCCTTCTTGGGTTCTGGGTTTAGGGTTTAGGGTTTAGGGTTTAGGGTTTAGGGTTTAGGGTTTAGGGTTTAGGGTTAGGGTTTAGGGCTCGGTTCCCTTGTAAAAGTAACCAACACAAAGGGCACCACTTGTTATGATATGGTTACTCGGCTACCAAGGAGAAATCCAGGCCACATAACCTTCATCGACAAAAGCGTCTTCTAAAACGGCACACCTCAGGCAAAAGATCCCAAAAGCATCCCGCAACCCTGGGCCCTTATCCCTGCAACACCCCCAACAAATCCATGAAACTCCTAACCTTAAGCTTACCCTAGGCCTAAACCCTAATCCTACATTCTAAACCCTAAACCCTAAACGCATTCTGAGGCAGCTGCAGGCTCGTCGGCAGCAGCTGCGGCGGACGTGCCGCAGGCGACGTGCGAGGGTTGGGGTCGTTTTGTGGCCTAAACCCTAAACCCTAAACCCTAAACCCTAAAAGGCCCTAAACCCTAAACCCTAACTTTCTGAACCTTAAAGGTTTTAGCCCTAAACCCTAGTTTAATTAGGGTGTACGATTTAGGCTGCTTAGAGGGCCCTGCCGGGAACTGCGGACCTGAGTGAGAGTCCTTCTAGCCCAATGAAAAAAGGGTCCTAGGAGCCCACTTCAAATTGGGGTTTAGGGGTTAGGGTTTGTTTAGGGTTTAGGGTTTAGGGTTTAGGGTTTAGGGTTTAGGGTTCAGGGTTCAGGGTTCAGGGTTTAGAAAATCGGCGAGCGAGATCTCAACCATGTTTTGCCAAGAGTTCCGCCCTCTTGGATTGAGGGGGCCCAAGGTGGGCTGCAGAAACACATGTTCAGCGCAGTCGGCACACGCAGCGCCAGTGCAGCAACTGGAATAATTGGAATTATCATGCCAACCCCACCCCCCCTCCCGCCCCGCCTCCAATATGAAAGATTCCAGTATGCTCTCAATGGAAGCGTTTCAGGGTTTAGTGTCGCAAAGGGCTAACCATCGCCCGTCTCTGTGGCTGACGGGGTTCGGACCCCCTGTCAGTGGTAGCCTGTTCTTTTGCATTTTGAAAGGTTAGTGTCTCGTTTTTGAGAGAGACGCCTGTGTTTTCCTAGGATACTGAAGAACCTTGTGAAAGGGTAGGATTTAGGGTTTAGGTGTTTATAGGGTTTAGAGGGTTTAGGGTTTGGGGCTAAGGGTTAGTGTTTGGGTGTGTGTAAGTGTAAAACCCGAATCTGCATCCATACCTGTGCGTTTTGGCCCTCGGACGATCACGCCTGAGTGCTTTCTGGGAAGTAAGGCCCAAAACCAAAAACCCTAAACCCTAAAACCTAACTATGGGTATGTGGATTATGTGTGAAAGGTGGACAAGGAACTGCAGAATGAGCAAGAGAAGCCGAGAGAACCAGCTTCACAAAACGCGCAAGGTTTCGACCTAAATCCTACGAAAGACCAGCGCCAGACCCCCACACCCTAAACCCATTAAGCCCAAAACCCTGCACGAGCTTCTGAAAGTTAAGGCCTCGAACCCTAAACCTCAAAAACAAACACAGAAAAACAAGAACCCCGAATCCCTAAACCTCAAACCTCAACCCCCCACACGCTGAATCCCAACGCTGCAATAACTGGGAGAAGCCCAGCGGCCCCCGTTCCCGCGCCCTGAAACCCTAAAGCCTGAAGCCGAAACCTGAATACAATACCCTAGGCCCTAGGCCCCGAAGCCCCGCACCGCACTGTTATGATCATCTGTCGCACGGTGACGCTGTATGCCGTTGTAGCTACCGGAAATGTCGTGAATATCAGAAGGCTTGACTCATCAAGAGGTCAGAAACACTTGCAAGCATTGGACAGCACCATGTCTTGGCAGCTGTTTTGGTCGCATGGTTCTCAGTGTGACATCTTAGCTAACCCTAAACCCTAAACCCTAAACCCTAAACCCTAAACCCTAAACCCCAAACCCTACTTCGCGCTTCATGGAGAGGTCTACCTGTATCGTGGTGGCGTCCAACGATCGGACAGCTTCTCTATGGGACATTGGTACTGCAAGGGTGGTCGCAACCTTGAAGCACGATCTTGAAATAAACAGCGCCAACTTCGATGCCTCTGGTGTGGCTGTTGTCACTACCTCCCAAGATCAGCTGGCGAAGGTTTGGGACGTAGCGTCTGGTGAGGTCTTAGCCTCGGTTGCACATAGCAACTCAGTGTATGCCGCCGCATTCGACCCTTCGGGCGAGTTGATCGTCACAGCTTCCGATGACAAAACGGCTTCGGTATGGGAGGCAGCCACTGGGTCGAAAGTGTGTACAGCAAGGCATGAGCATGCGGTATACAGTGCTTCTTTTGACGTATCGGGCGCACGCTTTGTCACGGCTTCGCGAGATAGTTCGGCTTCTGTTTGGGATGCACTGACTGGCGCCAAGCTGGTCACGATGAAGCATCGTGACAGGTGCATGAACTCTGCCTTTGATGCAACTGGAAAGAGAGTTGTCACAGCTTCCTTCGACAAAAGTGCGACGGTTTGGGATGCTGTTAGCGGCACAAAGATCTTCACAGCAAAGCACAGCAACTTAGTGTTCAGTGCGGCTTTCAATGTGCTTGGCACTCACATCGTCACGGGCGGGGATGATTTTGCCGCCAAGGTGTGGGATATAGCCAGTGGCAAAGAGGTATCTACCCTTCGACACAAGGACCGCGTCTACAAAGCCGCGTTTGATCCCACGGGCTCTCGCGTGATTACAGCTTCAGCTGACTCTTCAGCTGGGGTGTGGGATGCGTCCACTGGCACGCAGCTTCTGACCTTGAAGCATTGTCGCGGTGTGTTGGATGCTGCCTTTGATGCCTCTGCCACGCTGGTCGCCACGGCTTCTGAAGAAGGCACAGCTGCAGTCTGGAGAGTGGAATCTGGTGAGCGACTGCTTTCCTGTAGGCATGAAGCAACAGTGAACAGCGTGGCGTTCAGCTGACATGCAAGGTGAAAGACACAAGTTTGTCCGCAATGACAGCTGTTGCTGGTATGTTGTCGTTGTACTATCACTGTGATTCTTTCCCGACGGTCACTGTGCTCGTCATCATGGGAGTAGTCTGATTGCATGAGGCAGACGGATGGTTCATATCATCTTTCAACGATGTGTGTGTGTGTGTGTGTGTGTGTGTGTGTTTCCGATACTGCCTGTGAAGTCGGTAATCGGTATGCAAGCCCGAAATATGTAACTACTACCCTCATTAGTATACGATGGAGGAATGTAGCAGCTAAAGTGTATTACCGCATATTGCAGCACAGTTTGTATAGTATGTTACTTATAGTCGGTTTCTAGTCCATTATGTATTGTAGCATTTTGCTGCAGATCATAGCATGTCATAATCGTAGAAGAGTATATGAGAGAGGAAAGTTGTGTGTGGATGCTTTTTACCCTAAACCCTAAATCCTAAACTCGAAACCCTAAACCATGCATGTAGCAAGTATAAATAATTCTATATATATATATATATGACTATTCAATAGTGCCTTAGCTTAACCACTCTATCGTAAGTTTGGAGGGAGCTTCTAGTTCTCGTTTTTGATTTTTTCATTCAACCTGGCCCGAGAATATACCAGAAAAAACGGTAAGTACCGCGAAACCGAAGCCCTAAACCCTAAACCCTGAACCTGAAGCGGCTCCGGTGTGCAATGCGCCGTTTAGTGCTGGGCGCTATTCGAGCACGCTGCACCTCTCCTTACAAGGTCACTACACCTCATGGAACCTACGCATTATGGGCTGTCGGGGTTTCACAGGGTTTCATATCCCATAGGTTGAGTTCAGGGTTACTTAGAAACTCTTTCGACTTAGTACGTCTACTTTAGTATCCCCCAGAAAGCCTACTCTCGTCCCCATAGCTCACCTAACTAACTCTACTTTACCCTGTCAATAGGTCTTCCAAGCAAAGGCTTCAGGCTTCGTAGCCCGGTGGTGCCCTTTACCCCTTATTTTTTGGGTTCAAGGTTCCCTTGTAAAGTAGCCAAGCCCAAAAAGGGTGCCCTTTTTGTGATATGGTTACTGGGCTACTAAGGAGGTCTGAGAGCATGCCGTCACCTGCCCTTTGAACAGAAGCCCACAGGAAGAGGCGTCGACGCCGGGGCTGAAGAAGAAGCGGAAGAAGAAGATAAGGCCGGCTGTCGTTAAACACTAACCCTAAACCCTAAACCCTAAACCCTAAACCCGAAACCCTAAACCCTAAACCCTAAACCCTAAGCCCTAAACCCTAAACCCTAAACCCTAAGCCCTAAACCCTAAACCCTAAACCCTAAACCCTAAACCCTAAAGCCTAAAGCCTAAAGCCTAAACCCTAAACCCTAAACCCGAAACCCGAAACCCGAAACCCGAAACCCTAAACCCTAACCCCTAAACCCTAAACCCTAAACCCTAAAACCCTAAACCCTAAACCCTAAACCCTAAGGAGCGTAACAGGGTGGGGGGTTCTATGGGACCAGGGTTCAGGGGCTTTGTGGGGCTGATGGTTTGGATTTCTGGCATCCATGGGTTGGGATGTTCCCCTTTTTTACTCACAGTCCTTAATCGGGACTGTAGTACCCCCTGAACCCTGAACCCTAAACCCTAAACCCTAAACCCTAAACCCCAACCCAAACCCTAAACCCTAAAACCCCCCTATGAGAATCTCGTTAAAGACTGTGAATAAGGGGGAACATCCCCAACCCCCATGGGTTTCATCTCAACCCCATAAAACACCACCCGCATCACTCCGGGAGTTCCGAGACAATTCAACCCGGAATGCCTCCGCATCTTCGAGGTTTAGGGTTTAGGGTTTAGGGTTTAGGGTTTAGGGTTTAGGGTTTAGGGTTTGGGGTTTGGGGTTTAGGGTTTAGGGTTTAGGGTTTAGGGTTTAGGGTTTAGGGTTTAGGGTTTGCTTCCTACTGCTTTGGGCTTAGGTTTGTCAAGTCTAGCAACTGAAGCAGCTCAGCTTTGTTTTGTTTGGGGGTGAGAGGGGGGAGGGTTTAAGGGTTTTAGTTATGCCCAGCCCATCTCCTGGCGCACCCCACCTCGGCATTGAGAGAGTTACAAGTTTCTGACTCATGTTTCCTAGTGCTGGAGTGTCTCGATCGCATGAAGGCTGTGTGGCGTAGGGTTTGGGGCTTGGGCCGTTTCAGGTGTAGGGTTTAGGGTTTCGGGTTTCGGGTTTCGGGTTTAGGGTCTAAATTTGGTTGGGGCTGAGTGATGCTCCTCCCCCTGGCAGGACACCCTGACACATGTCGCCATCCGTGACAGCTGTCTTGCAGCACAAAAAAGAAATCCGATTATGTTTCTCAAGAGATTTAAGACTCGTACCCCGAAGGTTGGACCCCTTAAAGGTTCCCCTTAATACCTAAACCCTAAACCCTAAACCCTAAACCCTAAACCCTAAACCCTAAACCCTAAACCCTAAACCCTAAACCTAAGATGGCCCCTATGCTACCTTGAGGATTGTTAACAAGGGTCCCCAAAACCCAAGGGTACAACCTTAAGGGTCCAAGGTAAAAGCCCCGAGAATTTTAGCTTTAGGGTTTAGGGCCTAGGGTTTAGGGTGGGTGTAGGGTTTAGGTAGGGTTTAGGGTGTAGGGAACTTTATATGTAGGGACGATTAAAAAGCCTGGGGACTATTGAGAGACTGGTACGGGAGACTATAGAGGGGGGAAAACTTAAACCCGAACCTTTAAACCCCAAATCCCAAACGTCCTAAACCCAAAACCCTATATATGCCTATTGAGGGACCCTTAGGGTTTAGAGTTCAGAGTTCTTAAGAGATATTCATGGCGCTTTCCCGTTGATTTCTAATAGCTCCCTTTTAGGGGGGTTTCGGGTTTAGGGTTGAGGGTTGAGGGTCTTTGGGGGGGGGGGGGGGTTTAGGGAGGATCCGATGATTCTCAAGCCGGCTCGGTATGGAGCTCCCAGATCTTGGCAGAGTGATCCTGAACAGGAGGCGTGGGGTGTGGCCCTCCTGGTCTGTAGGGTTTAGGGTTTAGGGTTTGGGGTTTAGGGTTTAGGGTTTAGGGTTTAGGGTTTAGGGTTTAGGGTTTACGGTTTACGGTTCATGTAGGCACCTAGCAAAGCTTAGGGAAGCTTAGGGAGCCGTAGGGACCAGTAGGCTACATGAGTTTAGGGTTTAGGGTTTTGGGTTTTGGGTTTTGGGTTTAGGCTACATACCACTGTTGACCCCCCCCCCTCCCTTAATAACTTGATGCAGTCCCTGCAAGTCTTATCTTCTTTCAAAACCTTCCTACGTGCCCCCATTTCTCTGCACGGCGACCGAAACCCTAAACCCTAAACCCTAAACCCTAAACCCTAAACCCTAAACCCTAAACCCTAAACCCTAAACCCCAAAGTCGCCCTGTGGGAATCTTCCGCATGTGATGGTGGTGACCCTCGGATCGTTCTCTCGCTGACTGCTGACTCCCAGGCTAAGGAAGGCTCCATTAAGGAAACTTGCGATAGCAAGGAGCCTTTCCCCTTACATCGGCTGGCGACATGCTTTAACAGACATGGATCTGAGAGGTTTGCCGCACCAAGGCCATGCTAGGACGATCAGGCTTGAGGGCTTGAGGGTGACTTGAGTCATTTGATTTTACACACTACCAATCTTGGGATGCCTGATGGTTGAGAGAGAATATTCCGCCACAGGAAGAACTAAACCCTAAACTCTAAACCCTGACCCCAAACCGTAAACCCTAAAACCATCCAAGCCCAGAAGCCCCAAACCCACAGGAGGTTAGCTAAAGAGCTCGCCGTTTCAGATGGTGCGCAGTTCGAAGCATCAGAGATGGGAGTTGTAGAATGACCTCGTGTGCTACTTCTGCCACAGGAGAATTTTGTACTACGTACCAGTCTTTGGGGGTTTAGGGTGTGGGTTTAAGGTTTAGGGTGTAGGGTTCAGTGAAACCCTAAACCCTAAACCCTAAACCCTAAACCCTAAACCCTAAACCCTAAACCCTAAACCCTAAACCCTAAACCCTAAACCCTAAACCCTAAACCCTAAACCCTAAACCCTAAACCCTAAACCCTAAACCCTAAACCCTAACCCTAAACCCTAAACCCTAAACCCTAAACCCTAAACCCTAACCCTAAACCCTAAACCCTAAACCCTAAACCCCAAAGGTGATTCTGCTGAAGTTACAGGGACATGTCATCTGTCTCCTACCGTTCTTGGCTCCTCAGTTCCTCCTTGGTGTGCCAAGAGTTTAGGGCTTAGGGTTTAGGGATTAGGGTTTAGGGATTAGGGTTGAGGGTTGAGGGTTGAGGGTTGAGGGTTGAGGGTTGAGGGTTGAGGGTTGAGGGTTGAGGGTGGGGGCAGGAACCTTGAACAATCGATCCGAGGAGTTCCTCAGACTGGGGCGCCCTTTTTAGGGTGTGGGGTTTAGGGTTTAGGGTTTACAAGGGTTAAGGGTTTAGGGTTTAGGGTTCCCAAAGTAGGATCATCGGTATCACAGAGCCCGAAAGCCCTAAACTGCTCCTAATCTTTCGGCATCCCCTCATGCACGCAACCCCGTGCCCGCTTGGGTCAATTGTCCGAAGCGAATAACAAAAGAGCATACCTAGGGTTTAGGGTATAGGGTTTAGGGTTTAGGGTTTGGGGTTTAGGGTTTTAGGCTTTACGGGAGGGAACCCTCACTTACACCCTAGCCAAACTCTGCTGCAGTGAGCAAAACATGTGGGGGGTTTACGATCATGAGGGACGCCTAATAGAGACTCCCAAATCGTACGCCCCAAAAAAGCAAGGACCCGTAATTTCTCATGTCGGAAGCCCCCATGTCGATTGCTGTCGAAGTTCGGTTGCTCAGTGGTAAGACTGCTACCGTCGAAGCTCGCTGCGACCAGGATATCGAGACATTGAAACTCGGATGCCCAGTAGTGCACGTATTCCCTTTTTGGGGGGTTTAGGTTCCCGAATAACCCCTTTAAGCAAAAAAGGGCACCCTTTTAAGCCTAGGTTACTG